TAAGAATAGATAAGGCTATGGTTACATATTTTTTAGGATTTGCTATTACTGCCACTTTTATCCACAGGGTGTTTCAAAAATTTTAAAAAAATCAAGTATTAGTATAACACCCCGTATATAAAAGAAACAAAGATTTATAAAAGAACTAAAGTCATAGTAAAATTCTCTAAGAGTCGTTTTACAATCCAAAAAAAACATCATCATAATCGAATGATTTGTTCGGAAAATATTTAACAACAAAATAATGATAAATTTATGGTGATGCGTTAATTTCTTTCGCCAGTGTATATACCAAAAATTATACAAATGTTTTTACAAGTGCAGTTTTTTAGTGCAAAATTCACGCCGTATATAAAAGACACAAAGATTTATAAAATATCTAAAGTCATAACAACATTCTCTAGGAGTCTTTACACAATCCAAAAAAAAGAGCATTAAAATCGAGTGATTGGTTCGGAAAATATTTAACAAAAAAATAATGATAAATTTATTGTGATGCGTTAATTTCTTTCACCAGTGTAAATAAAAAAGTACATTGTTTTATGGTTAAAACAAAATATTTCGCGATAAAAAATATTAATAAACAAAAAAGTTACAAAAGGATTTTTAGAAACCGATTTGGTAATATTTTATGCAAACCGGTCAACATGGCCTCGCCTAATTTTTCAGGGTGTTTAAATAAAAAAATATTATTGTGATTTTAGTTCATCCCAAGCATTAAAGTAGTTGCCGTGGTACAATATTGTCAAAAATATTTATATTATACGCACCGTAAAAGTATACGAGCTTGTAGCTAAGTGAATCATAATTTATTCGCAAGACTGTAGCCTGGAGACGATACCTTTACGTAATACTTTCAAATATTTTCATAAGTTTTAATCCGGCAACGTCGCTTATGCTCAACCAATAGATATATTGGAGACTGAATCAGTGTTTGAATTTACTGCGCAAATAATATCTATACTCGCGTACAGCGTTGCCAAGTTGTTTTTATCTGACACTAGTGATGTATACTTTTTACAAATTGTTGAACTTTAAACGGTTATTTATAAACAATTGGACGGTCAAAAATTTTAAATTATTTTTTTTTAAACTCAGCAAAAATACATTAAAAGACTGTTAGTTTTTTGAAAGCTTCTGACAGTTAGTTTTTTTTTATAACTAAGAAACTGGTACAGAACTTCAGAAAGCCTATACAATCCATGTTAATTTTTAATTGAATTTATCTCGGGTTATAGACGGTCAATCGACTTCAAATTTTAAGGATAATTGTATTGTCATGTCCTTAATATGTATACAAAAATTTAAAATTTTCTGATGGTATGCTTACAGCACGACAACTACCTTAATCTTCAAATCCCAAAACTTTTAGTAAAATCTGAGATGTCGAGCTTTTGTCATTAGGTGAAATTTCATGGAATGACTCAAAATATATATAATTACCTACCTAAATTAACAGTACTAATAATATTATATTCCCATGGATCCTACACAAGGAGCCCGAACTTAATAGGGGAAATTGACAAAACCTGTCCTCTAAATCGCACAAATTAAGTCTTTTTTTCACCACATACCTGGCCTTCTGCGCATTTACACAACCATCTGGTACTCACTGCGCATAGATATAACCATCTAAACACTGTCACGCATGGTTGCAACAATCTTGTCCCCACTGCGCATGAAAAATATTTATTTGAGTCTTTTTGGTACTCACTGCGCATGGTTACAACCACCTGGTACCTTCTGCGAATGGACACAACCATCTGGTACTCACTGCACATAGATACCTACAACCATCTAAAAACTGTCACGCATGGTTGCAACCATCTTGTCCCCACTGCGCATGAAAAATATTTATTTTAGTCTTTCTGAAACTACCACCTGGTGCTCACTGCACATGGTTACAACCACCTGGTACCTTCTGCGCATGGACACAACCATCTGGTACTCACTGCGGATATATCCAACCATCTAAAAACTGCCACGCATAGTTGCAACCATATTGTCCCCACTGCGCATAAAAAATAATTATTTGAGACTTTCTGCACGGCGTTCTATAAATTTCAGAGAAATTTAACAACTTCTAAAATTTTAAATATTATTTTCTATCAAGAAACCTGTGACGGGTGAGTTGACGGTATGTGTGCTTACCGACGTAATCTGTCATTGTCCAAAATTTAATGGCGTAAAATTTTCAGGTTGTTATAAAAAATTTATTGACTAATTAAGTTGTTTGTAAACAAAATTACTGATAAAAAAGCAGTCAGTGAATTTAAAAAAACATTAACAAGCCAAACGTTTTTAAAATTTAAAAATGAAACAAACAGTATATGATAATCAATCAAAATGTTTTTAAATTTTTTTATTTGATTATGTAAAAACATACGGGGTGTTTCATTTAAAATAAAAATGTTATTAACGTTTCAAGTTAGCCTAATTTACCCTGGGTTTTCTTGGGTAATTTGTTAAAAAAAAATGCTAAAGAATTGACAAATTAAACAATGTTTTGAGATTTCAAAAATTACACCCTTATTTCCGCAAACCTAATAGCAAAAAAGTTATAGGCTATTTCTGATTGACGCGCATTTGACAAATTTTAACGAAACAATTTGTTTTAAACAAATTAATAACTCGGAAACTATTCACTTTAGGGATAGGACATGGTACAGTAATTTTACTCAGAATTTTATATAGAATTTAAAAATGTAAAAATATATGGGGTGTTCTATTTAAAATAACAAAGTTGATGTCACTTCCGGTCAAACCCAAAATATTAAAAAAAAAATAGGCTTAAATGGATTATAAACGCTTTACAAATTTCAAATCGACATCTATTGCCGATCTTCAGAAACTTTCAATGGACCACGAACGTGAAATACCCGTTTTTCGTAAATGTACAACACCCTGTATATAATTAAAATAAATGTAAAATAAGTAAATAATATTAATTGTTGTCCATTTATTCAGTAAACAAATTTGTCTTACAAATATAGAGTTTAGCTGTTATCGAAGCTGTTATATTATGTCCCGAAAACCGTGGATAACATTTTATTTGATCGCACTTAAAACAAAAAATTACGTGATCTGAAAAAACGCCAAAACACGGGTATCATATTTTTAAGTCTATTTTTAAAATCTATAGGAATTTTTCATGGGAGGAAAAAAATCAAATATTGTCGTACTGTGTTATATCGTAATAACAGTAAATTATAGACCAGGCGGAGGAAGCTCTTATTATAGCCTGCCAAGGCGAGGCACTAGATTGTGTGCGAGGCAATTAATAAGCTTATAATAATTTCTATATTATAAATAACACTCATAACCCAGTAAGCACCAAACACTCGGCAAGAGTCGGCCTTCGCTCGGCATAGGCGGTTGACCGGCGGTTCGGCTTGCCCCAGCCGGCCCGCTTAAGGCCCGCGTCATGTTACCCCCGGTACCTTTTAGCCATGTTCTAACCGAAGTCGGCTAGAATACGGCATGTCGCTGCAAAATCCTTCGGCTTGCCCTAGCCGGCCCGCTTACGGCTGGAATACGGCCTGCCGCGGCATAAGCCATACATCTCACGGCTGCTTACGCACGAGAGCTAACTATAAATAGCGATTGGTTGCAATATTTAGTTGGAAGTGTAATTCCGTAATGGCTTAGCTGAACATTACTTGTTTGGAGTCCCCATCTCCATCCTCATCTGCTCAGTAACGAATAATGTCTAGCTAGTCGAGTGTGTTAAAGAACTTGTCATTTTGAGAATTTCAGGACTGAACTTGTAGGATATACCTCTCCAGGCTGTGGCCGGCACTCGGCCAACTATACACAGCCGACACTCGGCCGAGTAAACATAGCCGACATTCGGCCAGGCAGATATGCCCGTTCTACACGCCGCGGCACACGTGTGTCGGGCCGCACGCGGCCGATTCTACAAAACGTATTCGCTATCTAGCTTGTGCTCACTGGGAAGTCTATACAAAAAGATTTTATATTATCATTAGTTCAAAAGTAAAATTATTATAAACCTCAGTACAAAAATAAAGCTAAAATGTCATCATGTCAGTTGAACTTAAACTAATATTGATGTGACAAAATCTTTAAAAATATATATACTAAATTGAAATTTTTATACATAACATTTTGGCGAAAGCTTATTAATTGCCTTGCACACATTCTACGACTTCGTCTGACGCCTTAGAAGTAAAATGTATCCTCGGCTATAATATGAGCTTTCTCCGACTGGTCTATAATGTACTATTTTCATAGTCTTAAGGAAAAAGAGTAAAGAAAAGTACTAGTTTTATGGTTAGCAACACTTTTCTACTTAGCAACACTTATATATACTGTCTGTCCACTCTAAGTTGGCTGAACTAAGGAATTTTGTTGTTTATATATTAAAGAATTGTCGTGCTGTGTGCTTTTAAAACAGATTTTATATTATAAATAATACTAGTATATAATATGTACTAGTATTATTTATAATGTAAAATCTGTTTTAAAAGCACACAGTACGACAATTCTTTAATATCTAAACCACAAAATTCCTTAGTTCCGCCAACTTAGAATGGACAGACAGTACATATATGTATCTAGTTTTATAAGAGGCGAATATTATTATCTATAATAATTTTTATTTAATTGATTAAAGCTTTTTCATTAAAAATACAAAACAGTTTGTTTAATGCGTGAAATTTGATTAATCAATATAATTCCACTTAAAAAAAAAACTATAACTTTTCTTTACTTTTAGAACAATCTACTATTCATTTCCCCTCCAAGAAATTATTACTTTTTTTTGTTGACAAGTGAATTGAAGTCAAACATGCTAGCTACAAAAAAGTAAAAATGTCTTCTTTTATGGTTAAATGTCGAGTGGAAAATAAACAGTTGAATAAATTACATTCTGAGAAAGCACTTTCAGATGCTCGCAGTTTTTTAATAGCCTCGGTTACGCTTTGCTTTGGCCATTCAAAAACACCTCGCACCTAATATGTAAATGTAAATAACTATACCTGTGTATTTTGGCTGCTAATGGAAAGAACATGCATAACTTTTGATGTAATTCGCAAAATTCCTTGTAAGTTCTCTGAATTATCGTTGAGTCATTTTGGTTTTCTCGAAAGACACGAAGTAAGTAAACATAATATTTATCAGGATCATATCTTTTTGTGCAACCAGCTACTGTAACTTGAACTATTCGATCATCAGTATTCATACTAAAATTATAAAACAAATATAGTTTAAAAAAATATTAATCTCCCTGGTAGAAATTGTATGTTATAAAAACGTGTTTTTGTTTGTTATGGTTAGCAAGCTAACGTTAGTGTTTGTTTTTAATGTTATATTTTGTGTAACTTTTATATTATATTTTAATTTACTTTTTTGTTTTATTTAAAGAAAAATAAAACAGAAAAGTTATGTAAAATACAACAAAAAAGTAACTTTCAATATATCAACGATTTTTGATTATTCCATGTTTTTAATAAAAATTCAAACATTTAAATTACACTTCGCTTAAATTAGGCGCCCTTATACCTGTGGGTTTTTAGGGCCACTACAGCTTTTAATTTTGTTTCAGATAATAAACTGATAATAACTAATGGGTTTACTTTGATTCCTATGTCCTGTGCTTGGATCTTAACCGAGAAGCGATAATGAAATTTTTTCACGTTAATATTTTAAGCAAATGTTTTGTCCTAGCACAAGAGAGAAAGATCTAAGTACATACTTGTAAGAACGTGAATTTAATCATATGCTAATGTTTGTTGGTTATGAATAAATACAATTTTCAGTTAAGGAATTTAGGCTATATTAAAAAAATATTAGAGAATTTAAAAATGCTAAAAATGACATAATAGTATATTCTGTAACAAGTTTGGAATAAGGCATATTCCGCTCGAGTGAAAAGTTTGTCACACGAGCCGTAGGCGAGTGACGGTTCACGCGTGCCCCATATATCCCGTAAAAGAAAATTAAAAAACTTGTTGAAAACTAATACTGTTAGTGTTATTTCCCTTGCAGCTGAAATGAGTTTACGATCTGCGAGTAGACGTGATGCGGCTCAAATAGTAAATCAAATTACAAGTATATCCCCAAAGTGAGCTACAAAAATAAAAAAGCGTACCTGTCTCCAAGTAACAAATTGCCGATAAAAATGACAAGTAATAAAGCATTAGCCATTATTGTGGATAAAAAATTCACAAAGGAGCAATACATCTCAATGCATCAGAGCTCACAATACCGATATTTTCCCTAATTAGCACATACTTCTTAAGGCAAAAAATATCCTAATAAAATTAGGATCACTGAACATTCTAGAGAAGTAGAACTACAATCATTGCTTGATCATACTATGTCAGTTTAGGAGAGCGACCTGGGGCGAGAATAAGCCTTGCACTAGGTCGATACCCAACGGTATACCAGACCGAAATCTTTGCCATCCAGCCCAAGAGAATCTCCAGAGAGGCTACTCGGGTAAACATATCTACATATGCAGCGACAGTCAAGCAGCACTCCGGGCTCTTCACTCGGAAAAGGTCAACTCGAGACTTACACTGGACTGCATAAAAACCCTCGAACTACTCAGTGTGCTCAACAAGGTTAACCTTATCTGGGTACCGGGTCATCGAGGCATCAGAGGCAACGAGGAAGCAGACCAGCTGGCTCGTGAGGGCAGCAACACGGCCTTCTTGGGGCCAGAACGTGTCATAGGGGTCGCCTCCTGTCTGGTAAAAACCAAGATCAGAAACTGGACTAACGACCAGTTCCAGAACAATTGGCGTGAACAACAAGGCCTCAGGCAGTCTAGGGTCTTTATAAAGAGTCCTACTACATGCAAAGAGGCAAAAAGATTCCTGAAACTTAACAGGAACCAGTTAAGAACCATCACAGGAGTCCTAAGACGACACTGGGTAGTCAAATACCACCTACACAAAACCGGACTCAGCAACGAGTCGGACTGTAGGTACTGCAACTAAGTAGACGAAACTACCGAGCATATAGTCTGCGAATGATCGCTCTAGACACCTAGGGGACAGATACTTGGAACCAGAGGAAATAATGCATGCCCGACCAGAGCGGGTCTGCGCTTTTCTTAAAAGCTGCGGGCTCGTAAGGTAAGGCAGGGCTTCACCAAAAGGGGGTTTGCACAATGGGCCGTATGTGTGCCTAAGTGCTGCCTGCAAAGGCTCCCCTTCAAATCAATCAATCAATCAATGTCAGTTCAGCAGGAGGTGTTACAACAAGTAAAAATAGGTATGGATACGCTTCCAACAATAAATGTAGTGTTCAAGTGGGGCTGTGATGGAGCATCTGGCAAAGTCAATATAAACAACTGTTTTCGGAAACCAATAAAGATGTGGACGATGTATACATTCGTTGAATCTTTTGTACCACTTCAGATGACGACGTATTCCGCTGTTGGTAGTAGTACAAATCAAGGAAAAAAGATAATTAATTCTATGGCAGGGGACAGATACTTGGAACCAGAGGAAATAATGCATGCCCGACCAGAGCGGGTCTGCGCTTTTCTTAAAAGCTGCGGGCTCGTAAGGTAAGGCAGGGCTTCACCAAAAGGGGGTTTGCACAATGGGCTGTATGTGTGCCTAAGTGCTGCCTGCAAAGGCTCCCCTTCAAATCAATCAATCAATCAATGTCAGTTCAGCAGGAGGTGTTACAACAAGTAAAAATAGGTATGGATACGCTTCCAACAATAAATGTAGTGTTCAAGTGGGGCTGTGATGGAGCATCTGGCAAAGTCAATATAAACAACTGTTTTCGGAAACCAATAAAGATGTGGACGATGTATACATTCGTTGAATCTTTTGTACCACTTCAGATGACGACGTATTCCGCTGTTGGTAGTAGTACAAATCAAGGAAAAAAGATAATTAATTCTATGGCAAAATCCTTCCCCTTCATCAACAAAATATTGTCGACCTATTAAAATAATTTTAAAGAATAGGTGTAGAGAACTAATACAAAAAGAAGTGGACAGTATAAAGTCTCAAATAGAAACACTTTTGCCAACTGTGGTAAAAGTAGAAGACTGAAATTTTAGTAAACAACACATATGTTGTCAAATCTGTCGAAAAGGTCTGCAGAATAATTAAAACACATAAGCTTAAGTGGCAGAAGAAATTTCCTTTAAAACACATTTTTTTTTGATTGAAGATAATTTATATGGATCCCAGGATGCTTGAAAAAATATACAAAAAAATCTACCCCCTCCCTTTTTATCAGAATAGGGTGGTTAGTATAGTGATCTTGGTTACTTCAAGAAAACAAGATGTAGTATAATTTCTCAAATCATTTTATTGACCACTTTTATCAAAAAATATATTGTTGGCAGAAACTCATTATTTATTCAAGGGAATTTGACTTAAAAAACTTTAGGCATGATGTTATAGTTATTATTGATAGCAGAAGTACGGTTGGGTGTTCAAATATTTGGCGCCACATTTAATCACGAGGGTGGTCAGTATAGTGACTCTGCCACTTAAAGGGTTGAAATGCATATAAGTGTCCGGTAGACTCGAGACGATTTCAGTTGGAGTTCAGGTAGTATCAAAATATTATCTAAGCCGTTGATATTAGGTGAAATAAGAATTTTACATTTTGATAATTATAGTTCTGGGGTGTAAGAAAAATTATAAGTATCTTGTAATGAGGAAAAATAGTACCAGAAAAATTTGGTATACCTAACCTATATTTTCTGAAAAACAAATAGTTGCCCTTTATGAGGCCCAAAACACCCAATACTTTAAATATTTTGTCTTAATTTTGCAACTGAGATACAAATAAACATATTGAAAGTTTTTAATGTTATTTACAAAATAATAAAATAGCATTTACTCATCTAAATATGTTCACAAATATCACTTTGCACATTCAAAGAAAAAAGTAATGTTCGTAAAGTAGCGATGGTTAGTTAAGTGACCACTTTTTCAAAATACGTCATGCGTAGCGGACGTTGGTTAACTGAGTGTATTTGCAGGCCTTTAGGCATGATGTTATAGTTATTATTGATAGCAGAAGTACGGTTGGGTGTTCAAATATTTGGCGCCACATTTAATCACGAGGGTGGTCAGTATAGTGACTCTGCCACTTAAAGGGTTAACAGTTTGATCTCAACTATTTTTATTAATATAAAAAATACATAGTTATAACATATACAAAAACATGGTAACAAAATATGCAATGTTATTTGATGTATAAAATAACACCCCCACTACATCAAATCATGTAAATTATTCTTCTAAACCTAATCCTAATACAAATTTACAGTGCTTCTCATAACCTAACCTTTCGTTAGTATGTCAGCAGTCATTTCATTAGTAGACAAATGCAACAGTTTAATTTTTTTATCATTTACTGCCTACCTAATAAAATTATGCCTTATATCTATGTGTTTTGATCTTTTATGGTATAAGGGATTTACAGCAAGTTTCTAAGCACTCATATTATCATTAAATAATATTATACAATCAGTTTTACCACAGATTTCATACAAAATATTCTTTAAATAAATAGCCTCTTTTGCTGCCTCTGAAAGTCCTATATCCTCAGCTTCAGTACTTGAAAGAGCAATTGTTTTTTGTTTCCTACTTTTCCAGGATATGGCACCTTCAGAAAGCTTAAATACATATCCTGTATAATACTTACGATTTATTTTATCACTCCCCAGTCAGCAAACCCTTGTAACCCCAATGCTGATTTTTTTAAAGTTAAACGATAGCCCTTGGTACCTTGTAAATATTTTAACACCCTCTTAACGCACTTCCAATGAGACTCATTATACTTATTATTGAATTGACTTAAAAAACTGACTGTATATGAAATAACAGGTCTCGTTAGAACTGTAAGATACATCAGGCTACCTATTGATAAGGTATTTTTTTGTCACATATATTTACATTTAATGGAAATTCAACATTTGTTTCTAGAGGTGTACCTATAGGTTTACAATCAGACATGTTAAATATTTTTAAAACTTATTTTACATAATCTGTCTGGTCTAACCTCTTTCCAAATTTCGAGTTATTTTCATTCCCAAAGATTCCCTAGCTTCTACCAGATCTTTTAATTTAAATTTGTTATTAAGTTTTTATTTTAAAAAATCACTTTCATAAGAATTGATTGAAAAAACAAAAAAATCATCAACATATAGTGCAACTATAGTTGGTTAAACCCTTTTCATTTGATTTAATGTACATAC